TCCTCGTTGTCTGGTTATATTAGCACAATTAGATAGGGATAATGATTGGTGTTTGTATTAATTACCGTTATTAGCAGGTTAATGATCAGTGTTTGTATAAATTAGCGTTAATAGCAGGTTTAAATAGCTATCGATGAGTTAGGGTTCACTTTCAAATTTTGAATATTTTTAAAATTGTAATACGATAAATTTACTTTATGTAAAAAGCAATGTTTTACAAAACTGTGTGTGTGTGTTTTACAAATGTGAAAAGAAAGGTGAACATTATTTTTACTAAAAGTTTCAGTAGCATGTTCCAGAATAAATCTGTTCCTGTTGCTGTGGAACACACTACATGCTTAATGCTAAATCTGTACAAATAAATAAAATTGAAGTGCTTGTGTAAAAAGCTGTTTGACATTACATGTCGAAACGGCTTTTTACTAAACGCATATAAAAGTAGAAATGAAAAAGCTTTCAATGATACACAAAAGTTGCCAAAAAATATGAAAATTAAATGCAGTACAATGAAGATAATTAAAAAAAGGGAGTCATTCGATATCCTTAAGTAACCTAACAAAAATGTTAAGATAAGTATTTATTTTTCTTGAAAAAGGGTTCTGCCTTGAACAGGGCTAACGATTTTCAAAATCCCCTCATTTTTCCCGCGTAATACCAATCTCAAAAAAATCAACTCGAGATTCCCAGCAGTTATGGGAATTCCCCACTTGTTGGCAACGCTGATTATCAGATAACTGATGTTATAAGGAATAACACGGGCTACTTTTATTTTAGAAAACGAATTAGCGTTCCGCGCAAAAAATTAAAACCCATGAAAACCAATCTAATAAATTCCACGCGGGCGAAGTGCGGGGAACAGCTTGTTGTGTACTATAAAATTAAAATAAATTTGTCCATAGGATAAAATGTAACTTTTGCCATGTTATAGTTACACAGTTATAAGTTCGCTTTACTTATCGCTGATGTCTTGATTTAGCATATATAGCGTAGATATTGTATTAGTTATACTTTGAAAAGATTTAACTTTTCCAAATCAATGGTGAAGTTCTTATACTTTATCCGAATGTGAAAACAGGAATTTAACGAGAACAGGTGTTACAGGTTCTATGTATTTTCATCTGAGGTTACGAACCCAAAACAACAACATAAAAGAACTTGTTTTTTTATGTTGTTGTTTTGTTATGTTTCAGTCACGTTTTCGAACACTGGTTGCTCGTGGAACATGAATAGTTATTTCGGTTTAGACACAACAGTTCCAGTAGGTTATTTTAGAAACCTGTTGTTTTCCGGTTACGATACATACGCATTACTTCTACTAGTGGGCACTGACGTCCTCTCGTTATTCTCTCAACGCGAGTAGAGGGATTTTACATGTTCTTGTTAAATTTCTTACACTTTCAGATTCCGATGTTTCATTCAAATGAGGAAATGATACAATTTCGTTGATGCTAACCGTGATCGTACTCGGTTTCATTGACCACAATGGAATTTTAAGGCGAGAGCTTTAGCTTAGCCCTCTCTATCATTTAGAAAATGTTGAATGAAAGTATTCTGTAAAGATTTTATGGCATTTCTCATACTCTTTTATATAATAGTGGATATAAAAAGTAAATTATTTATATAAAAACAAAGAGGAAATTAAATTAAACGTGACAAATACCACAAAAATAAATTTCGCTTCAACATAAGAAATCATTACTTAGATGTGAGTTTTAAATCGACGTTTAAATCCATTTACTTGTATAATATATTATTCACTTCTGTGAATAGTAGCTTCGATCATTTTATTTCCACAGTTACTGCATACATACATCGATACATTAATCTGACGTTTATGATGGATCGTCCGCGTATCCCAATAGTATCTCGTCCACGCTTCTTGTTTTTTAAGTTACACCTCCCGCAACAGCAAATGTGTTTTTCTCACGATTCACTTATAAATAAATATTCCATAATTTTGGATAGTAAAATAGGACATTAGAGTATTCATTATAATAGAAAAGAGAATATAATAAAGTAGAATAATCTATTTAATTTAATATAAATTTTAAATATAGTACGTGAGGGGAATTATGTCCATCCGTTAATATGGTCACTTTCTTATAACTCAAAAACTACAGCCTTATTTGTATAAAAGGCTATATGATACCATAGCTCTTCATCAGTCAATCAAATAATGAAGAATCAAAAGTACGCAGCTTTATCGACGCCATTTTAGTAGTTGAAAGAAAAAATCGATTTTAGTATGGCATAATGTAGTTAGTTTTTATTAAGTTGATTTTCGAAGTGTTCCTAATTATTGCCAAAACTTGTTGTCTATTTTTTTCTTAATTTATTAGTAATAGTATACTACTTTGTGTTTTTGTCTCTGTCCTAGTCCTAGTTTTGATTTTATAGGGCGGCAAAGCTTAACATGACCATATTACCCTCATGTACCTTTATTCTTATTGAAAGTTGTTTTTTTCTACTTTTACTACTGGTTTGGAAAAACTCTATCTTGAAAGAACCAGCAAGAAGTCCTGTTATAGAAAAATAGTCCGCCCTTAATTTTGACAGATTCTCCAAGGTTTATTCATGCCGAGCTGTATGCTTTCAGAAGCTTAAAGCGAATATAACAGCATTTTGAGGCACATGAGACCAAGCTTTATTTACCGTTACCATTATAGACTAGTAAATTTCACTGCTGAATATAGGCCTCCCTCATACATTGCCCCATAGGGGTGATATTTGCTATAGTTGGCACGCTTGGCGAGCGAGTTGGCAAACGGTGTTTTTAATTTTTAGTCGTTATTAGAAAGACGCTTCTGCCCATCCCCTGATTTGTGTCCCTCTGTCGCCTCTTACGACACCCTCGGGAAGATATGGGATAGTGGATATTCTTACAACGCTACTACACTGTCAAAGTTTTATTTAATTTAAGTAAATTCATTCAAATATATGGGTATCCAATGAAACACAAAGAAGAACTTTTGATTTTTTTGACTTTTCATAACACCCAGTTTACACTTATTTTTGTAGAAAAAGGCATACGTACACTCATTCTCGTTATTGAATTAGGTATAAGAAAAGATCAAATGGCAATGTCAGCGGCACAAATTATTATTTACAACAAACACATCTATCCCCAAATCTAGCTCCAACAATTAAACGATAAGAAATAAAGAATCGTTATAAATTTTTTGTACCTTTTATCATGTAATGATAATAAAAGATTAGTTCTAGATTCGTCATCTGTTTGATTCTGTTACTGGATATTACTTTCAAACCATATGTCATCGAAACCTTGCAATTCAAACTGGAGACTGCGAGCATGTGAGGTGGGCACTTAATGAAAACCCTGGTAGGGACATAACTGAGAATCATATCACGTGCTAAAGCCATGCTGTAGCTGTATCAGTAGTATAGTTGTAGCAGGAATAGATCCGACCGGGGAGAGACTACACTCTCACAAAATACCAGCCTAAAATATCAGCTCAACGCTGCTGTGTTTCGTATGTTCAGTGTAGAGAACCGGATATCCTTTCTACTGGTAAAGAAGCATTCCATCTTAGTCTTGACGCGTAACAACTCAGTTACATCTTAATTTATAATCGTGGATAGATGTAGATGTCTATGGTCCACAGTAACCACTTACCCATCAGGTAGACTCAGGTAGACTCTTGCTCACCTAAAAAAAAACCAGAGACCCTTTTTACTGGTGAGTAGGTATTCCATCTTAGCTCGCAGGGGTGACAACGCTTTTGAATATTAATTCTTAAATCAAGTACAGATGTAGATATCTATGGGCCACACCATCCATTTACCGTCAGTTGGACTCAGTAGAGATTGTGGGACAGTGCATGATTGTCAGGTCAAACATTAAAACTTTATTGAAGATGTATTTTAGTTTTGCGTTCATGAATTCTTATTTTGGGTCAGGTCAACGACAAATTCATATAATCAGGACGATCTTAGAGACGTGAGTGATTTGGTAGACGTAGTTATAAAACAGTTTGCGAGATTAATTGCTATATTCCGTGTTAGATAAGTATTAATGGTAACTATCAAGGGGACGATACCGCGTGCTCTACACCCTTCTATAATTACGAAATCTCGTTTATTATAAGATAAAGCGGGATCATGAATTATAGGATTCATTATAAGCTCGCTATGCAGTGCGAACACTGCAAGATGATTTAGGAATCTGAAAGTGTAAACAAATACCATAAAGATAAACCTTTTTCAGACACAATAGTAAGACAATAGCAATCCAGTATATGTAGTACACGGGACAGCGATAGGGTTAAAAAAGAATAATACTCTAATATAATCATTGACTAGGTCTTTTTTTTATAGAATTAGGGTGACAATAGAGTACACAGCCCACCTGATGGTAAGTGAATATAGTAAACTATGTACATCTACTTCTTCGATTAAGAAACAAAATGCAGATGAGCTGTACCCCTGAGGACTAAAATGGTATGCCTCGCTTTCAGTAAAAAGAGTCTCCACTCCCCTACACTCACCATACGAAACACAGCAGCATGAAGCTGCTATTTCGTATTTTTTTATCTTATATATATATATGTATTATCAATATAATGCCTGATTTAAATAGTTTATTAAATATAACAAAAATAGTTATAGATGAGTTGAGAAAAGATCCGACATTTTATCACAGAGGTCCTCTATTGGTAATTTTCACGCTTTAAAAATGATGATAAAAGTGATGAGGTTAATTTCAACTTAATTTGTGTGAAATCGAGAGAAAAAGGATGATAAAATGCAAGAAAGTCAAAGAGAGAACCTAAAAAATATATTTAATCAAAACGGCTTTAATAATAATTTTTTTAATACGATGTAACCATGTAAGTTTAGTTTATACTAAGTAGCTGTGGCGTACCTAAAAGAAAAAGGAACATGTGAAACCATCAAGCTTGAAAATTTCTATATTAGTTTCAAACTTAGTATCATGAAAAATTTAATATAATATTTGTTTTGGTCTAATTGAAATCTTTTCAATGAGCAAAGTTTTGAACTCAAGCGGATTGTCGCAATCAGAAAAATTAAAGTGCTCCTCTTTCCGCTCGAAAGTCCAACCCATTGTTTCATTGTGCCCCAGTGATATTGTTTATGCGAGCATCGCAGTTGCAATCCCCGGCGGAGTAGTCGCCATCGCGACGGTGTCCGCGGGCGAGACATTTCACGAGCGGCTGCCCGCCTGACCTTTCGGCACCAGGGACCACGCGAAATGCCATCGTGTTTTCATTTTTTCCCAACCGCCTGCTCACTCGACGACACTCGATTAATTTTTCACGGTACGCTTGTCAAAATGTGATTTAATATGGTACGCGAGGGTTGACTTATTCCGCTTTGACGTGTGATGCGTGCAGTCGTATATGGCGACTGGACCGCACCAAATTCTGTTAGGGCTATGGATTTAGAAAACTTACTGAAACTAAACAATCGTTCACGCGGTATGATTCCGTCGGACAAGTATGGTGTGTTTGGTTTGTTGATGTTGTCGCATTTAAGTTACTTACACGTGGCTACTTAATCAGTTTATTATATAACCAAATTAACCACGACGTAAAATAAACAAACAATATGCAAAGACTATTTTATTAGTACTAATAGAATGTATTTTCGAATAAAAGTATTGCATTTTTCTGAAATTTCAGTTCAAATGAAAAGTAAAGTAAAATTACTGCTTATATACGCCCTACTCCTGCTCACAGGCTTCTTCTTATTTCTGAGACAGTTTTGCTCAATGCGCTGCTTTCTCAAACTCTTAATAAAATTTAAAACAAAACTGTAATATAGGTACTATAAAATGTGTTTAGTGAAAAAATGATATAGAATATAAATATAATCGTACTTGTTACGTCTATTGTATGTAGAATAAAAATGACCGTTACAGTAAAAAAAATGTTATTTTCGTTATAAGATCAGCATTAATAGTCCATTGCTCAGTCAGTCTCACAATCTATGAATAGAATTATCATAATATTATTTATATTTTGTAATAGACTTTTTAAGAGGATTATTGTAACATTATTGTGTGAAATTATTTTTTTGCTTTTATAGCAATAGACACTAACCCGCATTGCTAAATTCTGTCAGCGATGCTATGTTACAAGTGGCGGCATCAATAACGACCAAAAATAGGAACCGCAATTTCCAATTTGCCGCGTCACTCCGGATTCCAATAGGAAGCGGGGATAAATGGAGTCACATTCCAATATGTCACCGAGCGGGGTCCGACCATTTCGCTTTTTGGCATTTGGCATTCGGTATTCGAGATTCGCGGTTACGGATATTCGGGCCGCTCGTACATTCGTAGAATATTGGCGCCATCGTGCATTCCTCACCTACCCTCTAATGAGATTCTAACTGTCTATTCACGGACAACTATTATTAATAATATTCTAATAAAGTAGGTAATCATTATAAATTTTTTACTTTTTTTATTTTTTATAGGATAGGGTGACAAACGAGCACACAGTCCACCTGATGGTAAGTGGTTGCTGTGGCCCATAGACATTTACATCTATCCTCGATTACAAATCAAAATGCAGATGCGTTGTCACCCGTGAGCACTAAGATAAAATGACTCATTTCCAGTAAAAAGGGTCTCTGGTTCTCTACACTCACCATACAAAAAACAGCAGTATTTAGCTGCTATTTTACGCTGGTATTCTGTGAGAGCGTGGTCCTTCCCCGGTCGAGCCGACCGATTAGTGCTACAACTAAACTACTAATATAACTGCAGTATGGCTCGTATCACGTATAAAATATATTCTACTACAAATGAAAGTATCTCAACATAATATTTTTTTTACAAACACCTGACATTATGTTTAACAGGAAGGGAACAAGAGGCCTTGAATATAATTTTACCGTCATATTAGCGATCCGCCCAGGCTTCATACGGGTGATTTCTGCAACTCGATGACAGCGCCACCTACCTGGATCAAATATAACTAAAAACAATCCTTAGTAGCGGTCGTTAAGGAGTATGTTAGGGCTGAATCTGAATGACAGGGTAAGAAATTGTGTAATAAGAGAAGAGTGTGATTTGCAAGATGATGTTGTGACCAGGATTAAGAAAGGAATGCTTCGGTGGTTTGGTCATGTGGAAAGAATGAATGAGGAAAGAGTGACAAAGAAAATTTATGGTGCAGAAGTGAATGGCAGAGTCGGAAAGGGACGTCCTAGGCGAAAGTTTATCGACCAAATTGGCGATTTATTGAAAACGGGCCAAATTAGGAGTACCCTTAACCGACGAGCATGTATGCGTAGGTGTATGTAGTCTCTGCCTACCCCTCTGGGTGACAGGCGTGAGTGTTTATGTTTATGTTTATGTACAATCCTTAGTGACCCCATAAGAACTAAACAATTTTTTATCAAAATTGGTCAACTCGTTAAGGAGATAAGGAGGCGAAGAATTACAAACACACAACGGAAATTTATATATAAAGATAAGCGTCATGTTCATTTACTGGATAGCTGTTTATTAATTTAATTTTTTATAGAATAAGGGTGACAAACGAGCACACAGTCCACCTGATGGTAAGTGGTTGCTGTGGCCCATAGACATCTACATTTATCCTCGATTAGGAATCAAAACGCAGATAAGTTTTCACGCTTGAGGGCTAAGATGGAATGCCTCGTTTACAATTAAAAAGGGTATCCGGATAGGTAACTACACTCACCATACGAAACACAGAGTATCAAGCTTCTATTTTACGCTGGTATTCTGTTAGAGAGTGGTCTTTCCCCGGTCGAGCCGACCCATTCGTGCTACAACTATAATATAGACGCAGCGTCGCTCCATCACGTTAAATATTTGACTATAAATTTTATAGTACGCAATATAGTTATTAAGTACATATTTTTCAGTTGTTATTATAACGTATTATAATGTTATTACTCTTTCAACAAGAAAGTGGATGTCGAAAGAAACATGTACTCTACTCAGATTAAATTATCCGTTGCTACATCTGGTGTTCGAATGCAAGAAAAAGTCGGCATGTATTTTAATAGTCCTCGTTTCTTAGACACTGCATCTAAACCTGCGTTTCCGAGCTTTTCGCTAAGCTAAAAATATGAATAATTATAATGTCCTTCAGATCGAATTTCAGTCACGGCGGTCAGTCTTAGCGTGGACATGGTAGAGCCATGCTATAGATATATTATGGTTGCGGCATGAATATCTTTACCGGGGAAGGAGCACGCATTTACCTAATACCAGCGTATAATAGCAACATAATGCTGCTATATTTCGTATGGTGAGCGTAGGGAACCGGCAACCCTTTCTACAGGTAATAAGGTATTCCATCGTAGTCCTTAGGAGTGACAATGAATCTGCATTTCAGTTCTTTATCGAGGATAAATGTAGGTGTCTATGGGCCACGGCATCCTGAGGTGGCTGATTTGAGTGCTCGCTTATCACTCCATTTCCATATTGTAAAAAGACGAGCCATTTGCACAGACTGACAGAATTATAGTTATAGTGCACGAGAGTGTGCGTAAGCACGGGTGTACTCACTGTTATCTCACTCTCGTGGTTCGATGGGACGACAAAGAGATCAGGTGCAGGACCAAACACTTTATGTGCTTTCCGAGGCACGGGAGTGAAACATCGGCAACTTCCTGACTCCAGGCTGCCACGGAATTTATTGACAGAGAAACCCAATAAAACTGATTATGGCCCGTCCCGGGAATCAAACCCAGAAACAACAGTTTTGAAGCGACAGTAGCCTACTGGCAGGGCGCGGACCCCGAACTCAAAAAAGGTCTTGTGTTCGAATCCGCCATTCAACTACTGGCGTGAACCACTCGTAACACAAGCAATTTAAGCTTACCACGAGTGGTTAAGGGGAATATTAGTAATGTTTATAGCATTGTTAATATTCTTTATAAAAAAAAAACAAATGATCAGCAATCGTGATAACGATCATAAAGCAGTCAAGAAATACGAATACAGCCGCGATAGCACACGGGATAAGCGCTTGCCTTTGAAGTATATAACCGAGCAAGACCGAGTTCGATCTCTACCAGCACCCATGAAATTGTTTGCAATTTACGCGTTGAAAAATATCACGAGGAAATTCATGTTAGAGCAATTATTAATATTTTGAATTATTTTATACGTGTTATTTATTTTTATAGATGGTGGAGCCATGCTGCAGTTATATAGTAGTATAGTTTTAGCACGAATGGGTCCGCTCGACCGGGGAAGGACCACGCTCTCACAAAATACTTGCGTAAAATGGTAGCTTAATGCTGCTGTGTTTAGAATATATGTATAATAATGTATGAAATGTGTATGGTGAGTGTAGAGAACCGGCAACCCTTTTTACTGGAAACGAGGCATTCCATCTTAGTCCTCACGGTTGACAACGCATCTGCATTTTGATTTGTAATCGAGGATAGATGTAGATGTATATGGGCCGCAGCAACCACTTACCATCAGGTGGACTGTGTGTTCGCTCATGTGAAGGCCACGAACACGCTTTGTGACAGTGCGGTTATCTATTTACTCACCTAATCATCTTGATAGAAATAAGAGAAGTCCTGTGCCCAGCAGTGTGACGTTTATAGACTGTTACGAGAACTTTTATTTCTATTTCTACGACCAATAGTAAACTTCTCTCTTGTAATTAGTTAGATTAGATAGATATCTATTACTAGATATCATATTTCATAGTCACAGTACAAATAGATTGGCTCGCCTGAGGAAGGACGACGCTCGTGTAAAATATCAACGTAAAATAGCAACATAATGCTTGTTTCTTGGGAGAACCGGAGACTGATAAAGGACACTGGTTAAAAGGTGTGTGCATCTGTATTCTGGTTCTTAACAGGGGATATATATAGTTGTCTATATGCCACAGCATCGTGGACCGTATTCTCTAATATAAACTTTAATTTCCTGCAAAAAAATTGATTCAATACCACATAATATGAACAAAGTTGTAGATTATGGGTTTAAAGAATAAGTTTGATTAGTCTTCCGAAAAAGTAATTCAAATACCTTTTTACGTAATGCTCACCGAGATCGTTTATTCTTCAAACGTAATATAGCCAATAAATAGGGTGAAAGGCCTAACACGAGCTTTTCATAAAGACATTAGGCAACCTACACACGGACGGCATGCGCGTCACGTTAGTCGTTATTGCCTGTACAGTGCCGCCTTTGCCCGTTCTGATTTGAAATATT